TATCCTTGCCGCTACCGCGATAGCCACGGTTGTGAGAAGACCTTCACTACTTCAGGCCATGCTTCTCGTCACTCCAAGATTCACACTGCCGAGAAGGCTGTGCAATGCACATTCCACGGCTGCCAAAAGAAGTTCACCAGAGCCGACAACATGAAGCAGCACCTCGAGACTCATTACAAGGACAAGTCTCGCTCCTCCACCTCCGCGAAGGCTTCTCGTCCCTCAATGGGCGGTCTGTCAGCATCTGGCCGTAGGTCCTCATCATCTTCCGTCAGGGCTGCTGCCGCCAGCAACCGTGCTTCCCGCGACCAGCCCATGTGGGAGGGCGAGTCTCCTTACGGATACCCTCCTGGCCAAGCTCCTCTCCCATCCCCCGCTGCTAGCGGTGCATGGGATCTTCGCGGCCTGCACATGCCTCTTGTAAGCCGTCCAAGTGCTGCGAGAACCCCCAGCAGTGGCCTGGACGCGTTGGCTATGGCTGTTGCGTGCCAAGAGGGCGCATAGAGCTTCGGTGGGATCAGAACGATTGCATGTCCCTTCTTTCTCTCTCCCTCTTGGGCAGTTTCAACACCTATACCCGGCGGACTCTTGCAGCGTGTCCTAAATAATACCCCATCATTCTCTATTTCTTTTCGGCTGCTCCTACACGGCCAACGGTGCGGAGAACTTCTCAGGATTGCACTCGATTGCGATAGGTTTTCAACCTACATATCAGTCTCTCCTCTCCCACGTTACCTTCCTTTCTGTTTTTTATTTTAATTTTCTATCGTCTGTTATCTTTTGGGGCAATAGAGGGTCGCAAAGTATACAATTGGCGTACCTGCACATACACGGAAGGGAAATAAGGCAACAAAAATGGGCGCGGCGTTGTATATCACGTTTTGTTTTGAACCGTGAAGGTTTACAACCAGGGGGGCGGATTTCTTCTCTACACGGCGTTGGTTTCTTCACGGTTTCGTACACATACCCGAATCCTCGATTCAATCAGTACCGAGGGGCAGACGCATCACTGCGATTGTTTGTTTTTAAGATGAGGAAAAAGGTTATTCCTGGTTAGGAATGGGATACACATACACGAGGTTTCCCAGACAGCTCTCTTTTGGAAGAAAAACGGGGATGACGGGGATGATGGAAAGTTGAAGGAGAGTGAATCTTCATGGATGGGCGCGCGGATCTCAGATGGTTATGCGCCCAGGACGGGGTGGACGATCTTCCTCATAGAACACTTACACGTGAGTGGATGGGAAGTTAGGGAGTCCGTCCCAATGTCGATATCACTCCCACTACCTGCCGCCTCGGTTCATAGCCAGCGGTAAGGTCAAAAATACAAACACACGTTGAACAAGCGTACCTTGCTTCTCTGGCTTCCGCATTCGCTATTTTACGACGTGAGTAAAGCCGCCAAAGTGGCTGGCTAGCCCACCCCATCACGATGGTATTCGAAACATCATGAGAGAAGTTCCCAAAAAGGCATTCTTGTCTCACCACAAATGTCTCTGTGCCATGCAGCTGGTGAACGAGAAGAGAAAAAAAAAAGGAAAGAAAAAAGCGTACATCAAAATTCCCACATACCACCAACTTGCCTAGCTGTTTGAGCCCACACGGCATGGGGCAAGATATCCCAGTATCCGCGCGGCCCCTCCCCAAGCGAAATTCCCCGAAGACGCTGATCAGCCTTTGTGATCCCGATCAGACGGTTGAAGACAAATTCCAGAGGTGTCAAGTCTTGTCTTCCCGTGTCTCTCGTTCTCAATCCCAAGTCCGGCATAGGAGGGGGGGAGAGAGAGGAAGAGAGGAGCGCGCGCGAAGAGATACAGGGATAGTTGTCTGGGAAGAAGGGGGGAGGAGGGGTGGTGGTTGGGGAGAAATTCTCCAGCATTGCATGTGTTTTGAACCGTTCCTAGCTAGGTGTTCGGGGCTGCCATGCCATGCCATGCCGCATTGCCCATCCCGTCGGATCCAAGCAGCAGCACCAGCAACGATCTGAAGATCTCGATCTCTTCTATTTTCAAGTTCTTTCTTTCATTTCTGTCCCTGTTTCTCCTCGCGATTTTTGGTCCTTGAAACATGCATGGGTAAGAACCACCCCAGCAACTAACTCTACCTTACCTCCTCGGCCCGAACATGGCATCCAATGCGTACGGATATGTCTCTATTTTCCTCCTCCTCCTCCTCCTCCTCCTTAGTTTCCCCTCCGCTTTCCATCTTCTACACACCCCCGGAGACAAGTCCCCGTCTTCAGGACTGCCTCTCCCGTTGGAATGGAACGAGGCGTGAATGGCAGACCCGGATCGGTCAACCTGTTGTTGACTGGGACATTGTGGACGCTGTCAAACGCAACGACGCAGACCATTTACCCGCTCGCCGCTGGAATGTAAGTTGGAACATCCCACACTCGTTGGTCGGTATACGCTAGATCGCAGCGCAAACGGTTTCCTTCCCACGAGGTCTGCGGGGGCGTGCAGTAAGGCTAGGGCGTATGGGCACATGGGCGTCTTTTGCTCTGGCTAGTGAACGGTTTAAGTGGTCTCGAGGGCGGCTCAATTACCGTAGGTGGATGGTTTCGTCCTTCTATTTTGTCTATCTTGTAGCTTTTTGGCCGCCGCCTTCGGTGTCGGTACCTCTAACTATTCGTCTGTCTCAATCCAGGACTGTTGCGCCAGCCCCATACGCCAGTGGCTTTCATCATCGGAGCAGACCTGTGCAACATCAACAACTCATCGCGATCGTTGAGAAACAGATGGTTGCCCCTTGACACAAGCTGAAGACTACTGCTGTTTCCACAGCTCCTCCTTCTCAGTGCAGAGTCTTGCCATCTCATACTGCTCATCCGTTTGACAGACCAGTGTACGGCACTTGGCTCTGTTCTTACCGACTTCCTGCACCGTATCGACAATCTTCTTGCTGTTGAGCTCGTCTTCGATGGTGAAGCCAAGGCAAGTACACTGTTCTACGACGCGTTTCCGTAGCTTATCGCTCTTCTCGCCGATGCCACCGGCAAAGACCAATGCATCTACATCGCCATGGAGAGTGACAAAGTAGGAGCCGATGAAGGCGCATATCCTATCAACAAAAATGTCGAACGCGAGTCTGTGCGTAGGTTCGTCCGAAGAAGCAATGACACCGAAGTTGGTCGTCCCTGTCAGGGCCTTCCATCCGCTTTGTTTGTTGAGAATTTCTTCAGCCTCGGTAAGATGCAACTTTGACGTTGAATTAGGGGAGAGCTTTCCGACGTCACTCGCGTAATGGAAGACGAGACTGTGCGCACACAAATTAGCCAGCTGCTAAACACGCACAACGGACGTTGGCTGCGATTTACCTCGGATCTACATTCCCGCTTCTCGTGGCCCCAGGCAAGCCGGCAACGGGCGTCAATCCCATGCTTGTATCCCAACTCTGGCCGTTTCGGATGGCGCAAGCGCTCGCACCACTTCCCAGATGAAGAGCGATGATGTTCAAGTCTTTGGTCTCTTTGCCGAGGAACTCGGCGACGGATCGAGTGATAAAGGAGTAGCTGACGCCATGAAATCCGAACTTTCTGAGGTGGTTCTTTTTGGCTATTTCTTGGTTGATGGGGTATGTGCGGACGTGCTCGGGGATGGTGGAGTGGAACTGTGTGTCAAAGCATGCAACATTGACAGCGTCGGGCAGCTGCTCCACGCAAGAGTTTACTATATCAAGGGCCGGGCCGTTATGCAGCGGGGCAAGGTCGCTGAGCTCCTCTAGGTGGTGATATGTGTCCTGGGTGATAACTTGGGAGCACGGATAGTCGCCTCCATGTACGATGCGGTGACATGTCAAGGCAATATCGGCCTTTTGCTTGATCTCGGGCAATTCTGCGTCATCAATCAGGGTCTTGAGAAGCACCTTGAAGGCGTCATCTTGTGTAGACACCTTGTCCTCCAGATCCTCGTTCTTCTTGACTTCAACGCCGCCGCGGATGTAAGAGACCTGAGCTGGTGGAGCCGTCAGACCACTGATAGATGTCTCTGCAATCTGGTGGGGTGACTGCTTAGGCTCGGCCGAGTAGACCGAGATTTTGACAGAGCTTGACCCCGCGTTGATAGCAAGGATAACCTTCATCGTGGATAGGTTCTGAATGTGCGGTGGTGGTCTGCAGTAAGGACGGAGAGGTCGTCTCGAATGCCTCTTAGAACCGAGAATCGGCAGCCAGATGTGGTTGGTCGACGTGATATGCAACCCGCAGTTGGGTCTTTTGATTTGGTTGGTGAAATTGAATCGACCACCTGATGGTGGTGTCTTTTGTTCGACAATTGGGTATCGATGTGTTGAATCTACGATGCGGTTGGACGAGACAGGTCAAGATATGACGAGCTGAAATGGGCGCGATTGTAAGCTTTTAAGAAGAGCATCATCAGCAGACGTCGGCGGTGGAATGGTCAAAGGCCCGAAGTGGGTGGTGTTGCCCTGGGCACCATGATCTGAGGTTCCTCTCGCTGCAAATGTCCGTCTTGGCCGGGTGTGGTGACGTTCCATGGTGCAATTGGTCTTCTGGGGGCGGGGGGTTGCTGGGAGCTGGCAGCTACGGAACCCCGCGCCGTGCCTTGTCACCCCACCAGATAGTGCAGAAGTGGAGGCTCTGTGGGGCCTGTCAAACCTGTCAACGCCCGGACCCGGAAACCCAAAGCGGCGGCTTCTAGCCATGCAAATAACACACCACTTTTTCGAGTTGCCTGATGCAATACATCAAGCCCAGTTGCGAGCTATTGCGTGGAACCATAACCCACCATCGCGCACTCCGTTGTGATGTCGATGTTCCGCGAGCTGGGTGTAGATCAGGATTCATTACAGCAGGATTCTGTCCAGCGTTACACCACATAGGCATTTTCCATTCTTATGGGTGGCGGAAGTTGCAGAACAAGCCAGGTCGAATTCCGAGAGACCAGTCGGTTGATGACAGCCCAACTCCTCTTGTCTGACGCTTGTTTTTTTGGCCTGAAATGGGTGCTGTTGAAATTTGTCGTTGATCGGGGAGCTGTTCAAGCAGCCGAGTCAGACTCATAAGAATCCGGGGGCTCCATCACGGGCTCTAAGCCTCGAGAGATATCGGGGGATGGCAGTTCGGACATTTCTCCAGGCAGCATTTCCGGCGATGGCAGCTCAACGTGGTGGGCAGGAAAAGGTATGCCGTGAAACTCGCTGTCGGAGCTGTGCGCTACAACCCAACTCTCCAGGAACCGAAGGTAATCTGTCGCGTGTCAGTCAAACATACTTTCCCCTTATTCAAAGCGAAGTAGCAAGGGTATGATGACTTGGCACCGAGACGCTCGATGCTTGCTTGCTAAGAAGTAATGTGCCATACCTTCACGCTTACTGAACTGTACGCCTATATAGCGAATGTTTAGTGTGCCCGATGGTGCTCCGTCAGAAGTCGATGGGCCCCCTTGAGAACCAGAACGCACGCGAGGGCGCATTCGTTGTGCCAAATTGAAGCGCGAGCGGGAACTGCTGTTATCAGGAGCGCTGCTACGTCGACTTCCGCGAACTGCCAAACGGACTTGGCGGTGTCGATCGTCGCGGTTACGCAGTTCGCCCTCAAAATTGTGGATTTCGTATTCTCGATATTGACGGCCACTCGCACGATTTGCAAGAACGGTCAGTGAGTGGTAAGTCGAGTATCGGTCCCTCCAAAGCTTTAGCCTCTGTACCAATCCCATGCCCCGGATGTTCCCAAAGCCGTCCGTTCTTCCATGCTGGTCGGACCAGACGACATCAACATCGTAGTAGTCAACCAAGTCTTTCCGACGAATATCTCCCTGGAAGCGTATGGAGCTCTCCACGGTGGTGAACTCGTACTTGACCTCGGTAAGGTGGTCATGAACTACCACACCTTCGCCGGTAGTGTATCTGACTCTGTGTGGCTCGCGAAAGCTGACAAAAAGCTCGAGTTCGCAAGGATCCGTGTACGGACGATGACGGGCGTGTAAGGTATGAGGAAAGATGTCGGCGGGTACGTCGGACGGAACTATACCATGGTCAGTATGATGCCCCCGGCTCGAATGATAGATGTGGGGGCTGAGGTACGGAAGTGCTCAAGAAGCTCGCTCTGGTAGCTGCACTGCCATAGTACGCGGCGCTGCTCGGAGCCGACAACCTCCCAAGGGCCAAGATAAACGGTGCGCTCGTTGGGGGTGTTCTCAAACAGGGTTCTGGATATCAACAAGGGTCAGAAAGGGGCAAAGACTAGGTTCAAAACGTGTGGTTATAGGAATTTTGGAAAGAGGGGCTTCGAATGGAGTAGTGGAAGAATGGTACATTGTTGCTTGATAGCCTGGAGGTCCAAGGTCCAGAGGATGAAGAGAGGCATGTGGTGCTGAGGCCTCGGAGGTGAGAGCCGATATCGTCGAGGCACCTGATGTTGGTGTCCAGGTCGAGTCAATGGGGCTCGCGTATGGCTGGCCATAGGAAGGGGGCCGGCCGAGGGAGGAGGAGGTAAAAGACGAGCCGGAAGAAGACGAGGCGGCCATGCTTGAAAGGCCTTGGCCTACTCCTTGTCTCGGAGGCTTGTCAACAAATCAATGAAAGCCTGCGGGGAGTTGAGATGGCAATCATGGCATGGCGTTGGAGATTTGGGTATATGGCCGATTCGTCTGGTGGTTCGAAATCGTGTGGTCGTCGGGAGGGTAAGCGCGCTTAGATCTCGGGACGGATGCATTCAAACGACGGGATGATGCGACGGCGAGAAGGTATACGGGCGCCGATTCCTCGCTCGAGGTAGCGATGGTCCTGGAGCTTTGCACGGGGCGACAGGTGCTGCAACTAGCATCAACCCAATGTTGCGAAAGGACGATAAGGCGGATGGCTGTGTCGCAGACGGAGGAGGAACGAGGGGCGCCGAGGCAAGTGACGGCCGGCAGGGTGCAAGCTTGATATTTTTGAGATAGTACGAATAGTGGCGCCTAAGGTCAGGTCAGGTCGGGTACCGTTAGAGAAACCAAACAGCCAAGCCATCAGCAAAGGAGGTGCCAATGCCAGTGCCGGGGCCAGGGCCGGTGGAGGTTGTGACCTGGCACAAGACTAGCACGGCGCCGTGGTAAAGCGAGGCTTGGTAATGGAGAAGAGTTAACTACCTTGGGTAATTGGGTTGGTATGGTTGAAGCAGACAAAGACGCGGCTTCCGAAAGTCAAGCGAGGATGGGGGACGATTTGACGGACGGAGCGGGGTCACAGTACGCTGTATGTTGGTGGTGAAGGGCCGGGTGCGGAGTCAGATGGCAGACGAGGGGGTTCCGTCTGTTGGCGGATGGACTTTGGTAGATGAACAGGCAAATAAGGCAGAAGGACGTTCGGAACAGTACCTTACCTTACTGTGACGGGACGCCTAGCATGCAGTACGGTAGGAAATGATTGATGCAGCGACTGGATACGCAATAAGGTAGTGGTGGGCAACGGGAATACCACAGGGTCCCGGGTGCGGACGAGGATCCGAAGAATTGGTCGGGTACCGCCGTACCGGGGACTAAAATTGTCAACGGTCCGCCGGTAAACTGTCTCGCTTACCTCAACCAATTGTGTAGTGTAGGTTCTAAGCGTAATTCTCTCCTTCACCCATCTGCCCTGCCTAGTCTCTGCACCCACGGCCAGGTACTCAGTCTCAGAGCAACATAAAGCATGCTTCAGTCTAGCCTTTGCGGTGCACCGTAGCCAATGTAAATGAGTGCTACGTTATACCACGGGAAGGAACCCTATCTTCGGTATCGGTACAGAGTACCTACCTTACCTACCTACAGTAGATACCTTCCCTCGACAATGGAAGTTACGGATGGGGATACCGCGAGATGGATCGAGGATTGAAGTACTGCATAGGTGGGGTTGGGCATACCAAATCCAGTTCGAGGTGCCCGCCGCCGTTAGATTGGGTCGGCCAATGACAACGCCTGAAGCGACGGCATGCTCAAGCGACTGGTACTGGGACTTCCCGTCGTGCTCTCAGCTCAGTGTCCACCTGCATGGCCCATGTCCCTAAGGTACTGAACTATTCTGGTCCAGTCCAGTCTGTTCCTGCTGCCACCATGTCCGCTGCCAGTAGGCTGCGCACCTGCTCTACGCTCAATGGAAACCCCCATCTACGGGCGTAACGGATCGAGTTCTTGCAGTTCATGGTCACATTGTCAGGAGCCTGAGAACGTAGTGTCTGTTAGGCCAAGTGTTGGGATCACGATGTTCAGCGAGGCAATGCAAGTGGTGCGTGCTTAGATAGCTCTAGGTTGCGACATCTCCCTGTCTCGCGTTAACCTGAGCCTAAGGTAGCTTTCCTTGACGCCAGAGCATGCATGTTCACTCACTATCGACGTCCAACTACCTCATCCCGAGGATTTGGCCAGTCCTGGTCAGTAAGACAAAGCACTGGGCTCGGCTGAGAGACGCAATATCGACTATTGACAGCCTCTGGACGAATACGGTCACATTGGTTGGTTGCTAGCTACTAGGTGGGGGTCATTGTCAATGGAAAGTTGCTTACCTTTCCTTAATTGAGACCAGGGGATTTTGACAAGATTTGCCGCAACCTTTTCCTTTCCTCGCCGAAAACCAGAATCCGAGTCTGCGGTTTCCTACCTAACCTTACCTTACCTTACCTTAGGTACTCACTTAGTCTTTCCAGCGCTTGGCAGCCCTCGGCCAGCCTGCTCTGCGGTTAGCGTCTTGTCCTGTCCTGTCCTGTCAACCTTACCTTCTTACTCAACGTTCCTTGCTCGGCTTCACTCTTTCTTCATTTCATCACTTGGGGACTGCGTTGCTCCCGAGTGTTCCTCCAGGCCCTCTTCCCGTTGTTTCCGCACCTTTATTTATGACTTCTACTCGACAAAATCATCTCTTTACACTCAACCAGCTCAATGGCCTTGTGTCAACTACGCCCGCGACTAAGATACCCTTGCTTGTAGATGGGTCCCGCTTACTGCGACCCATTCTTCCACCTCCCCAATCCGACTATCCGACCTCTCCTGCATCTAAGCATAACACGCGTTGCTGCGTGAGCCAGTCTCGGCTCATACTTTGGTAGCGCAGCACTTTTCAACTCAAGGGTTGACTGTGTATGTGGGTTACATCCCATACCTACTTCTCCGTATCACAAGTCTCACTTCGCCCAACAAAGCCGTGTCTCCCTATTCTCATCCACCGATCGTAGATAGTGAATCGGCTCGAGAGAGTCGAGCGGCAGCCATGTCGGCTTTGCCCGACCCTCTCGTGAGAAGGAACCGGGGCTACTTAGGCAGTGACAGTTCCGCCTTGTCCGCCCGCGATATCCAGGTACGTTCATTTACCGATTTCGTCCCGTCTCTGATTTCCTGTTCCCACGCCGTCGCTCGCCTCTGTGCGCCTTTAGCTCTTACTTAGCCTCATCCTGCACCTTGACAGCTGCTTCGGCCCTTCATCGCATCTTATATCGGACGTTAGCTCATCATTCTTCCAGGACCGCAGTCAGTTGCGTTATGAGCTTGACCTCAACTCGTGGAACCTGCGTATTTGGGGCGTAGCCGCATCGGGTTTTCTAACAGATTCGTGAGCCATCCTCCCAATGCTCTCACTCAGAATGTGATTATCCAACGGCAGTACATTAATTGTGTTGCGTAGCTACAACCTCTTTTCCACAAATGTTATTCTTGCCTCCATAGCATTTGTATACTGGCCTTCACCCGGCGAGAGATGGCAAGGGCTGCTCATCAACTTCTTCACTCTTTTGGGCTCCGTGATTGGTCAATTGCTCTTTGGCTTTCTGGCCGACTTTTATGGACGAACACGCCTTTATGGCATTGAGCTCGTACTTGTCATTGTGTCGACAATTGGTGTTGCCACTAGTAGCTATGGCTTCGATGACATGAGCTTCTTGGCTCTGTTCATTTGGGTGAGTTACTATTGCCGGTTTTACTTCTCTTCTCCCTCTCCGTTGAGGGCCTTCTCAGCTGACATCTAGAACTCTCATAGTGGCGCTTCGTGATGGGTATCGGTGAGTAACCAAGTTCGGCCGTTCCGTCAATTCCGCTCGAACAACCACGACTAACTCATGAACAAAAGGTATCGGTGCCGAGTATCCCCTTAGCGCAGTCATAACCTCAGAATGGTCGAGTACTCAATCCCGGGGAACTATGATCTCTTCTGTCAGTCAGCGAGTAACTTTTAAGTCTTAGAACCTCACTACTAACCACAAGTGTTAGACGTTCATGATGCAGCCCATAGGCCAAGCTCTTGCCCAACTTGTCGGCCTCTGGGTTCTCGTCGGTCGTGACAAAAGCGAGGGCCTACAAGCCATGCAGTGTGGCCTCGACACGAAATATGATAAGGAATGTCGCCGCGCCGTTGATGGCATTTGGCGCATCGTTATCGGCTCTGGTGCCGTCCCCGCCCTGTTAGCCATCATTTTTCGGTTCTTTTTGTTCGACTGCGGATTATACAGTCTCGAGGTCAGGAACAAGCCCGGTATTGCCTTGAGAAACACGCAGAGAGTATACGGCGCTCCTGCTGGCGCGACAGCCGGCTACCCCATGACCCCTCAAGATGGGATGCAACCAACCAACTCACAACAGCCTATGCCCATCCAATTTTCGAAGCAGGATCTTTACAAGTACTTTATCGAAGACGGAAATTGGTACTATCTACTAGGTGAGCTCTTCGCCCAATGCTCTATGGTTTGGATTACGAGACATCGTCTTGGGTCTTGAGAGTTCACAGTAGTGACCTCTTGTGTTTGATACAACACATACACTAACCATGATGTAGGCACCGCTGCAACATGGTTTTTTCTTGATGTAAGCTTCTATGGTCTCAGTCTTGATAATAGAGGGACTCTCTCAGACATGTGGGCGACCACGGGACCGACGCCCATCGACGACCGGCTTCCGTGCTGGAACTCCAAGTTTCCTGACGGGAACGCAACCGCACGACTATGGAGCCAGACCGGCCTTCCGGTATGGCAGACGGACGCAACTCTACCTTGCAATACAATTTATGATGTGCTTCTCGAACAGGCTAAGCAGTACTTGTTGACTGTATCCATTGCCTCGATCGCCGGCAGTGCCTGTTTTGTCGTCGCTGCCAATAGGATCCCGAGAAGACTATGGCTCACAGTTTCCTTTTTCGTTCTGGCTATACTATTCGTCATTACGGGTTGTGTATACTATGGTGTCAACAAAACCTCCGGAGCGCCGGCGACTGTCGTGTTTGTGGCGCTATGCCACTTCATGTTCAACTTTGGTACGTGTCTTCTCGTATGCTCACATGTCCGAATAAAGCCCCGACAACAGCAAACTAACAATCGTTACTCTTCCAGGGGCAAACACCTTAACCTTCATCATCCCAGCGGAAATCTTCCCAACCTGTTACCGCTGCACCTGCCACGGCATCTCCGCCGCCGCCGGAAAGCTGGGTAGCATCGTGGCCCTCCTCGTCGTGTACGGCATCAACTCGTCCTACACCGCCGTCAACCGGCAGGGGCTCATCTTTTTGCTCTTTGGCTCCTTTGTCGCCGTCG